CTAAAAAACATTAAAGCAGTTTAAAAGCGATGGCGTGTATAAATAAAAACTGTATTTCTAATGGAAATGATAGCTAACGAAAACATGTTCGAAACATAACTTCATTGAACATCGAGCACAGTTAATAAAAACCACGTCAGAACAGTCTTTTTCTTGATACTCTGCGTGAGCATGTTCGTTAGGAAAGCAAATTTCATTCACATTATGAAACTGAAGGAGCATCTTTTGATAGTCCGCTAGCTATCCAAGAATACTTAATCATTGGAGTAAAAACACGTGCGCTTAATTGATTGTGAACTGTGCTCGATGTTCAATGAAGTTATGTTTCGAACATGTTTTCGTTAGCTATCATTTCCATTAGAAATACAGTTTTTATTTATACACGCCATCGCTTTTAAACTGCTTTAATGTTTTTTAGCCTTAAAGCACTGAAGAAACATGTATGAAAACAGAACGAAAAGAAGAAAAACACGAATTTTCTGTACGGAAATGTGTACAGAGAAAAACCGATTTTTCGCTGTTTTTTTTAGTTCTCGGCCTAAAAAACTCGCTCAAAAAACATCTCGCAAAGAGCCTTGAAAAGATTTTTTCTGTTGATTTTGCAATGTGCTCTTTCATATGAACAGAACCAAAAACTTTTTGGTGCAAATGATTTTTCGGCCTAAAAACCAAGATCTTTGAAAAACGGGGCTTTAAGGTGAAAGCGGGCAAAAACCATTATGATATTCGGAATCAGCATGTTCGACTACCCTTTGTCAACTAAGTTTCAGCTCAAAAGCGAGGGATCAGTCGGTGGCCTCCTCTCGTTAATCTTAAATTATAGGAATTATTGTTTTATTTATTTTTTAGTCATGTTTTATTTTTAAAAATTCATTCATTGTAACGAACCTTCACAACATCGTCCAGCTATGATTGCTTCATAACTGCCATTTAATTTTGCTAATGCTTTTTCAATTAATGGTACCTGAATAAAAAACAAAAAATTGACTATAGTTTTTATCTGTTTGTTTTTTAAAAGCGATGATATATACCCATAATTGTTTTCGATGTGCTTGTGAATATGCAAATGTCTGAAATTTTGTACATGGGAAACGATCATCAACAAGTACTTGAGTCCACATACCATCTTTACAAAGTCGAACATAATAAATACCCTCACGATTGTATTCTTTAGTAATTAAAACCTATACAGAAGACTGAGAATAAATAATTTTTTAGATCAAATGTGATGTACAAATCATCTTACCTTCATTAAATATTCAGGTTTTTCGGCAAGAACACTTAGAGCAGTAATAAACCAACAATCACCTATGATAAAGCAAATATCTAAAACGTGATCTGCCATTGAATAACATACTTCTTCTATACCTAACGCTCCTTGTAAAACATCATTTGGTTTGGGATCTCTAAAAACTGTCCACTGTTTGTGAACATTTTCTGTCCAATCGTGTGCAAATATTTTATCGGGTCTTAACCATTGAACAGCTGTTTGTACATGTTGTTGATCGGGCAATAATTGAATAGTCGTATTCGATAATGAGTGACCATTTATATATAGTGAGTAATTATTTCCTGGAAATTTATCATCGTGAAATCGACTATTAGTCAATAAACATTTTTCTAGTAATTTTTCGAAATCTTTTAAGACAATATGTTCATCTGCTTCACGTTTATGGGCAATTAAAACACTTCGACGATGTGATGTAAAATGGTGATTAGTTTGATCATGATCATCTAGACTTTCATTGCGCTGATGTTGATGAGATGGTTGAAAATGATCGCGTCGGTGATGATGAGTGTGACCTATTTTTTGCCATAAAACAGATTTTGGAGAACTTGGAACGCTAAACAAGTAAATAAAAAGATAGTAATAAGTCAAAAAAATGATGGCGCTACAATCTAACGCATGCTTGCCTATTATGGTTATTAATATCGTCATGTGCGGAAGTCATATCGTTCGAATGATGTTCTAGTGGTATGTAGACATTAACTTTTGTTGAACCACATTGTGCACATATCTGGTTTTCTCGTTCATTAATCTCCAAACAAAATTTACATTTCCAACGCCGAGATGGTGGAGATGAGATTGGATCAAGTTGTTCGGCGGTTTTAGTTTGTATTTCTGTTGAATGTGCTCTTTTTCGTTTTTCTTGTGCAGTGTGAGGATAATGATCACTGATGCGTCCTCTTTTTGATTGAAACGATGGATCTAAGAATAGCAGTTGTTTATTTTTACTGCTTAAAGTTAACAATTCTTGTTCAAATGCATGGAGAATTTGTCTTAAACTATTTTGGATATCAACAGCAGTTGTTTCATTCAAATAACGTAATGAGTAGGAGGAGAGTATCAAACCCATTATTTTTCTTCTCTTTCTCACCTTATTTTTTTATTCTTCTATACATTTTTGGTACATGAAGCGCGATGATTATCATCTGCTCGTTCTCCGTACAAGTGTGTAACCAAAAAAACAAAGTTTATTTCCTTTTACTTACATTATTTTATTGAACAGAAGAAACAAGTGTACATGCGTGGTTGCATATATAATAGTATACCAAATGTTATTCTTTAACTTATTGATGTGTAAAACATACAGAACATTACAAAAGGTGCTGTAAGCATAGTACCTAATAACCTATTTCCTCTTTCGTATCACACAATGACTGATAAAAATGGTTTAGTTCTATTGAGAGCAGACTTTTTAGAAGAAAAAAATTTGGAGACCCGAATATTCTGGAAAACCAAGACCACCAGATCCAGGTCTCTGGATTTTAACGAAAATCTTTTCAAAACAACTTAGACTTATAGATAAAAACATCTCTGAACAAAATCTTCGGCTTCTCCATAAACTTCCTTGATTGAACTACAATTTATGAAAGGCCCTTAAGTGTTGAATGAAGTGAAATTACCGAAATTTCGAGGAAAAATCACAAAAAACTGCGGTTTTGGTCTTTCGTAAATTGAATGTGGTTCAATGATGGAACTTTATAGAGAAGGTGGAGATGTCTCATTTTGTTCAGAGCTGTTTTCTCTATAAGACTAAGTTGTTTTGAAAAGATTTTCGTTAAAATTCAGAGACCTGGGTCTAGGGGTCCTGATTTTCCAGAGCCCTCGTGTCTCCGAATTTTCGTACATAGCTCTCCTGATAGAAACCCATTTCAGCTACTCAAATCTTTTTTCAGATCTGTTCTAGCTATTACCGTCTAGAAGAAAAGTCGAAACTACAAGTGTTTTGAACGAATATCCCCCACCCATAAATTCTTTTAATTTGATGGATCTTATCATCTCTGCATTAAAATATACTATTTTTTTCAACTATTAATTGTGTGTTTTAATTGTAACGAGATTTAAGAAAACTTCTTTCTAGGGTTGTATTTAACTTTGTTTAAAAGCGACATCTAAGAAAATGCACTAGGACTGATGAGTGATTAAGATATTTGTAAACTACGGATCGTGCGAGATAAAATATACAGATAAACAAATGATATAATATTAAAAATATTTTTCACTCTATATCTGACAACAAATTCTAAAATTCTTTTACTTCAACTTATGAATCCGGCTGCTCTTTTTTCTTGTTAAAAATGTCTTCATTACTGATGATAATCGATCCATTTAGTTGAATAATTCGAAAAATATATTTTGAAAAGTAAGGCAATAAAGCTAATGGATGTTTTTATATTCATAACAAATATTCAATTAAGACGTACTCATTTATAAGCATAACACTAATTAATTCATGAAAGTGAAAGTCATCAAAGGTAATGCATAGAAGAAAACTAGAGTAATGACCGGAGACAAGCAAATAAATAAATAAAGTATAATAAGAATAAAAATACAATACAATAGTAGAAAAAAAATTAAATAATTAATTCTAGACGTTTGTTTCATTTTGTGGCAGTATAATATAAAAAAGATAATATTTTGAGGAGAGAAACTAATAACAAAAGAAGTGATACGAACATATTCAGAGTGATGAGGATGTTTATTTATCCTTGCCAACACAATATACAACACAGACAATTCTTACTGTTAACATGTTTCAATTAAATGTAACCTAAATTGGTTCATCAAATACTAATACAAAAACTTTTATAGGTTACTAAATAATATGTTTTTCCCAGAAACAAGCGCATTTTTCTCATAATTAATATTTAAAAGTACTGAGAACGTATAAAGGAGACTAATGGAATTCAGTCCTTTTACGAAGCATATGAGATTTGGGTTAGAAGTTATTAAGAAAGATCTTACTTTTCCTAATTAAATTTTCTCTTAGAACATCTATACTTCATCCTATTACCTGAATGTTGTCTGAAATCTGTTTTCGTCGTTGTTCTTTCTTCTGTTTTGTGTATTATTAGAAAATAAACATTTACCTACTTACATATCCATTACCTAAATGTGTACTGTACGTTTATATTCTAGTTTATTACGGAATAATATTCTTTTTTTTCAAGGATATATATTCATTTAAAGGAGGGAGAACAGAACAATATGTCGTATAACAAATTAGCTGACGAACAAATAAATGTGGTTCATAATCCGAATGCCAAGGAATTTGAAGTAAAATTAAGTGATTCGTCTGCAGGTAAACAAAATGTTAACTTTTTCTCATCTACCGACTGTACAATATAAGATTTGTAATTCGAGGTGAACTGTTTTTTTTTATAGTTCTATTCATTTGTTGTAGAAAAAGCTTATTTATCTTATGAGCTCGTTGGTAATACAATTGATTTACAGCATACCTACGTGCCAAATCAATATCGTGGAAAAGGTGTGGCACAGAAATTAGTTGAAGTAAGCATTTGAGATTTTGAAATGACTCTACTAATATTCGTCATATAATAATGATATTTATTTTTCTTTCAGAGTGCTCTTGATTATATACAAAATACTCCGTCGATTCAACACATCCTTCCATCATGTTCATATGTAGCCAAACATCTTCAAGCTAAAGCACCACAATATTCACGTTATCTTCTAAAATAAAGCATTATCGTTATGTTATTTTTACAACTTCCTTTTTAATATTTTTTAATAAAAATCCGGAATATTATGTTATTTAAACTTTCCACGTGTTATTGTATTGTCAACGATTGTTTATCTGATTATCTGTTAAGATGAATTAGGTACTTCTTCGTTCAAAGAGGATACTTTTTTTCGGTATTTGTGAGATTAAAATTATTACAAGATTTTGAAAAAGTAAAATATATCTCATTTCAAGCTAGACTGAAGTCCGCACTTGATTTTTTAGTGCATGTGCTATTTCCTTCAGACAGAAATGGAATAATGTTTACATATCCACGGGTAATGTACTAGTACGCTTGAAAGCATTCAAGAAAGGATTGGTGGTGAAAAATACTGTAGTATCGGTTTGTTTTTCAAACTGAGCGCACAAGTATCAGCAAAAGCAGTTTAATACTAGTTGTGCGACGGATAAAAACAGCACTTAAGAGTCTAGATACTTGAAAAGCATTGATCGATTGATAAGTAAACCTTCCCAGTTAATTCACCCTAATTCTGATCAAACATAAATTTTTAGAGATTATTTTTGATGTTGATCACGAATCTGCTACTCGTTTTTCCTCGTATGGCCTCCTAGTATCATCCTATACAAATTGTGTCTCTGAAGACCTTAATTATACTTCCAAAATGAAGAGATACTGATTTGACTGGTTTATAGAGGAGATCGAGTCCAATATGTAAAAGGGTTTTCATCGACTAAATTTTTTATCGAGAGAAACACTTCAATCAGCTTTATTCTAACTGTATAACGAACTAAAATATGCATAACTTGTCAAAACTTGTTTGTAAGGTCCCAAACCTCTTTCACATACAGGAGGCGATCTTCTCTATAAACTAGCCAAATCAAAATCTCTTCATTTTGGAAAGTATCGCTGAGATCTTCAGAGACACGAATTGTATAGGATGGTACTAGGAGGCCATACGAGCAAAAACGAATAGCAGATTCATGATCAATATCAGAAATAATCCCTAAAAATTTATGTTTGATCAGAATCAGGGCGAATCAACTGGGGTACTCATTCCTCTTGGAGCGAGTTCTAAATCAGAAATCGATCCTAATTTATATTTTTCATACTGAGATGTTCTATAACTTTTAGATATGACAACAATTCGTTTAAAAATTCCCCCCAATTTGTATTCACCATGGAAATATCTATATAAACAACGTAGTAAAAAAGCCATGGATCCACCAGCACCATTAACACCATTTGAACAAAAATTATATGATCATTACAAAGTAATATATGATACACAATTTCAAAGTTTAAAACAAATATTCTCAAAAGAAGTTCAATTATTATCAACAAAATCACGTTTTGCACAGTTGCAACTGAGAGCAGAGGAACGAGAATTTCGTCATTTATTAAAACTAGTCCAGTAAGTTCATCTTATTCATTTGTTCATTAAAGTATGTATTATATGTCATTTAGATCTGAAAACGATCGTCTATTAGACGTTCGTCTTGAAGATGAGCGTTTAGAATTAGAAGAAGAAATGAAAATCAAAAATCAAGTCATTAGTGTGTTGGGTACTCGTGCTGAACAAAAATTAGCGGATATTGAAGCAGAAGTTAAACGGATGAAGTTAGAATCAAAATCGCATATAAATCCAAATGATTTAGACTTAGAAATTGAAAGAATGTTAAATGAAAAACATGATTATGATTATTCGATTAATTTACAAGGTACTAAAAAGTTGAAAGGTGGTCAAACGATAGATGAACAACAACAGATGTTTGATGGTAGAAAACTCATTAAAGATGCACCGTACGAATTGGAACCAAAGCAAGTCGAACGGAAAGCGCCAGGAAGTTCGAAATATGAATGAGTTCTTTTTGTTGTATGTTTGTTTCTTTTCTATTAAATTTTGTCGCATAAATATTTTCTGTAAATTTTTCATGATAAAGAGCGATCTTTAATTGAAAGCAATTTTCGTCCCTGTGTGCTTTCTTTCTCTTAATCAAGATGCTTTTATTTATTTTAGATGTTTTTGTCTCCATTTCGTATTCAGATTCGTTCATTTTCAACTAAACCAGGCCCCATTTGTGCCCTTATTAAAGATAAAATCGAAAAATCTGCCATCAAACCATATCATGTTGAATTAATTAATGAATCATATAAACATAATGGTTATAAACGTGGTCGTGAAACGCATTTACAATTAATTGTTGTCTCACATGAATTTGAATCAGTGCCCTTATTAGAACGACATCGACGAGTCAATGAATTAGTGAAAGATATTGTTCATGAACATAAAATACATGCCCTCTCATTGTATACACCAAATCCATCAATGTGGTATAGAACATATGAAAAAGGTCTGAAACTGGATGAAGTATATCGAACACCACCATGTCTAGGTGGCCAAGTTAAAGAATTAAGTGAACAAACACAACGAATCGAACAAGAGAAAATGAAACAACAAGAAGCACAGAAGACTATGGAAACTTAATTAGGGACTTTACGTGTTTTTTCTAGATTTTCTTTAAAATTTATAGATCACAAACAAATATTTTCGTTTTTGTATATACATAGTACTTAATGTATATGCAACTGCTCTTCTGGTTAATTTGAAATTACAGTACGTCTTCCTCGTCGTACGTTTATTTTTATTTTGCAGATATGTTTATTACATTGTGAAAGACAATTTCAAATTTTACTATTATTCCATGTATGTGTGGTGTTCATCTCAACCGGTAATCATATTTGTGATCAGCGTTGAAAATGACAACTGAAATCTGTATTATTAAAAAAACTTTCGATTACCCAAGAAAGTTCCCTCGTGAGGGGAGCAAGTGAGCATAGATGTACGCATAGAGTTAGTAAGCTTATTAATGACTGGATCTAATCTTCCCACTAAAAGTCAAATTTCAATGTATTATCGGTTAAAGGAACGCTGCCCTGTTGGGCTAAACTACATCATTCGAATGTTGTAATTAGGCAACGCATTCATTCAGCTTTTTTCTAGAAGCCTCTATGGAAAACTCATTGTCCCCTCTTATAAAAACGTATAAAGAAAGAGGAGAAAGTAGAAAATATTTTCGCACTCTTTGTCCAAAGCTCCTACTCCTTCCGGTCAATATGAATTTCACAAAAATGAACAAAAGATTTAGATGAAACTTTTATAAAAAATAATTCGAATGTAGACGAAACAGATCTTTCCTTAGTAGTCTTTTATCATTTCATCTACTCTAATTTCTCCCACGAGGAAGTTGAGGTCTTTGATTGATACTTAGTTTTTACTGTTCTCTATTTAAGGTACAGTTATGTTAATCAACCGGTAAAAACCAGTAAAATTAAGATGTCTATGAAATTGGTTCTTACGATTTGAATAGATTTGGTGCCGAAGTCGTAAAGCAACAAAACAACTTATTTAAAATAGATGAATTGACTATCTTATGTCTTGAGTAATACTGTCATTTGGACTGATTAACAAAGCAAGATACATATTACAATCATTAGATAAAAAACAGTGCTCAACTGCCATGAAACGTATACCTGTTTACTTGAAAAATGTTAGCACACTGGTCTTATATGGTTTTGATTAATACATTGAGGAAAATGTACGAATATGATGAAGACGTACAGGTGATTGAAAAATTCATGAAAGCCAATGTTCCTCAATTGTCCATATTTATTAATTTGACAACTGCCGCCAGAAAACATTGAATTCTTTTAAAACCAAGAACATTAATGATCATTTTAAGCTCGATGAATACCGTTTTCATGGTTAAAAAACACTTTATTAGCCAATACTATTTTGCACAGAATAACAATAATTATTATAAACTACTGGAACGGTCGATCGGAACAACAGAAATTAATTGATAAATCTACTGAATTTGAAAATTAATAAATAACATTCAGTTTCAAAAATATTTATGCCAAATTAGATCGTTTAATATCAAAAATTGATAAGCATCATTTTGATTTGACTTGGTTTTTGAGACAAGCGAAATACTAAAATGGTTCTCTGTGATCACTCGGAGACATTAAAAATCGCTTTTTCTATCCCTGGTCTCCTTCATGATGAAGCCATACAAATAACAAAAGTTCACGCGTGAAGCATCGAAACTTCACAGTTAAGACAGTATGCAGTTATTGTACGCAATTGTCCTGACGATCCGACAAGATTATTCCATAGACAGCGATTCCTTGCATGGTGCTCGTTTTTAATACCAATGGTAGATAGTTTATTATTTATTGTCATAATGAACCCATTCAAATAAAATCGTTTTTATATATAAACCTTTTATTTTGTAGTTTATCATAATAATTCCGAAAACAGTGTGATAGAATTTGAAGTTAAGAAATCGTAATATATTCGTTATAGCGAAAATTTTACTAACATTTATTTGGTTTAAACTATATACGCCTTCTAATTGGCGTGCGCATTACATAGTTAGAGAATTCATAAGTAAAAGGAGATAAAATGTACAAGCAAGAAGAGAAAGAAGTACGTTTAACATCTTTCGGCCTCAGTTACATAATCAATCGTCATCCTGTAGACATTTTTATATAGTTCAAATTCTAAATCTTTCTTTAGTAGTAGATCCAAATCGAAATGAGTGTTTTTAGTCACATTTTTTAATTTAGTTATACTTTCGCTAAACTATAGGTATAGTGGGCAATTTCTGCATAGCACGCGAACTTGTATGTGAAGTATATTCGGTAACGTCAGAACTTTTTTCACATTTTCAAACACGCTCTATCGAATGGCCGACGCCTGATTTTTTTCTAGCAAGGTGTTTTGTCTTGCATTTAACCATTAGGCGAAATTTTTCAAAATCAACTTTTGGTTTTGAAATGTTTTGATGTAGTTTTTTGGCGCTGATTCCGAATATCAGCTTACTTTTTAATATAAGATACGTGTACCGTAGATGCAGTGAATATAGACGAATATTTGAATATGTTTTTAAATAAATTCCAGTGCGTGGAAACTTCTTACACCCGCTACACCGCGATGGAGAATTTCTAACTTTAGAAAATCAACTTTTCATCTGATGTGCCAGATCCGAATAAAACAAATTTTCATCTATCGATAGTCGTAAGTGTCCAGATGTATAATAAGTATTATTTGCGCGTTAGACTTCGTCATCTTAAAGAAAAAGTTAGTTTTTCCTTACCAAAGTGTTTTGACGCTTTTTTTTGCCTACATGTTTTTTCATGATTTTTGCCCCTTATAACAAACTTTCGATTGAATAGAGCATGCTTCAGATTATACGATGATGTATTTTAATTTTGAGAAGTGTAATTTCGATTTTTCACCTAAGGTCACGCTCACTACCTACTGTGGTGGGTATGACAAGAAAAAAAAGTGTTTAACGTCTTAGATTCTCCACACTGACAATATTCTTCACTAGTTAACCAAATACGGGGCTTTGTTTTTGTAACGAATTTGTACGAAATTTTTCAATTGCTTTTAATCTGATTTTTAGTCAGTGGTATCAAAGTTCTGGCAACTTACTCCGATTCGTTATAAAAAAATAATCGTTTCCAAAAACGGTTTGAACATGTAGATTTGGTTCATAAAAGACGATGCTATTCAAAATATTTGTTAAGGAAGCTCACAGATACAAAATGTATACATTTTCTGCAAATCTGTAACTTTCATATGTGATTAGTTTTAGAATTTTTATGTTTAAATATCGAAATATAGAGAAGTATTTATTGAACATCTTTAAGTTTAAACATTTAAAGTTGTTGTTGGCCGCGGTTCGCTAACGTTTTCCTTCGAAAAATACTCTTGAAAAGTAATAACATCCCCTTTTCGTGAGAATCGAGACGTCTAGGAACTGAAAATTATTTGTGAATGTTAGCCTTGATAAGTACTAGTCTCTAAAAAAATTCTCAGGTAATTCAATATGGCCGTAAAATCGATTTACGACGGCCTATCCTCCGTAATACTACCGAAACATAGGATTACGGTAAAATTATCTCAAGTTAATGCCATTTACAGCGTGTTACGTTACAGTACACGGTCATAATGCGCTGCATATGGTCATCGTAACCAGTGACGTGGATTACCGAGACTTTGGAACACCTTTAACCGAGCAAAACGTTCTTGAAAATGAATCTTAAAACCAATATAATTTACGACTCATCTTTGGAAAGACATTTGGATGTTATAACAAACTAATCGATTTTGGACACCATTTAAAGAAACCTTTCTTGTTTTTAGATCTAGGAAGGTTAACATCCTCTTTTTCTGGCTTTTTAATCATTTTCTAATACGTTTGAGTTATTGATGCGTTTAGGAAAATATCACCACATCGAACTCTTTATAGTTCAAGCCACTCATACATCCGTTTGGATATTTAGAAGAAAAGGAAAGGATAATTTGAAATGGTTACCGAATCCTATTAGTTTACTAAAACGACTTTTAAAGACGGTTCATAAATTATTTTGGATTTAGTAGCAATTAGTAGTAAATTTTCAAAAATCTTTCGCTCTCTTAAACCATGTAGTAAACAGCATGAACACTTAAGTTGACTGACTGCATAATTTTTTCTACCTGAAGTGTAATACAATAGTAAGTTAAAAAAACGTTGGCGATTCTATTAGCACGGAGACCTTAAAAGTTTGTGATTGGTTGTAGCTAATAGCATAGAATATATTATGGCCCACTTCCTCCAGGCACAACAGACCAAAAAAGGTCGAAAATAAGGCTCTTGCTGCTTACTGGGTTTAGCATCTTTCGGCCAAGTCATTTCTGCGTTGTCATGCAGATTTCAGACCTTCTAGGAGAAGCCTTAGAGCTTTTAGTCCCAATTAGTAAATGTTTGCTATACAAACCGACTTTATGAGAACTGAATTATTCACTTACTAAGTGGACAGATTTTTAATCAAAAGAACCATTGAGAAGAATTTCTAGAATACATTTGTAAGAAGTGCAGATGTTTCATATGAACTATTTTGATAATAATTTGTCAAACAGTTTTGCTTATTAATTGACCACGATTCGTATTTTGCCTGAAGGTCTATTCATACGGATATTGTCCGTTTCTTCAATTTGTTATATATTTTTTTCATCATCGGACGAATTATATGACGAAAATTTTCTCTTTTGTTTTGAAATAGAATACGAGAGAATACGTAGTGTCGAGTATAAATAATCCATGCATGCATATTTAGTGAAGAAATCGCATGCTTGTCGTTGTTATAGATAGTGAATGAGTCATAAGTATTCGGAAATTTCCTTGCAAGCAAGTGTAGGTTATTTAACTAGCTCGTTCAGGGATGCAGTGTAACTTTCTTTCTCATTACAAGTGTAGCTATCCGAGAGCTGTGTACGGCTGGATGTCGTTCATCTTTAGTCTTTTTGATTGCTTTTAAACTAAAAAACGTGCTTTTTTTCTAGAACACTTATTTTCTAATATTTCTTTAATAAAAAAAATGACCAGTGTTCAAAGTGAAGTGGTACAGACTGGGCAGTCTTCTGCATCAACAGCACCAAAAATCAAAATTAGTAGCAACGATGGAGAAGTATTTGAAATTGGACAAGACATCATTAATCAATCAAATACAATTAAAGAAATGTGCAGTGGTACGGTATTAGCGTCGAGCAACAAGACAGTTGAAATTATACGTCACACTAACGGGCGTCTAATCAAGTATTGAACGCTCAAACAGCAATATGTCTAGGCTCTTTCAAAAACGTTTTTGATGATTGAAAAAGAACATATTTTATTTCAGATCTTGGTGATTCTGTTTACTCGATAGTAACGCCATTGCCAAATGTTAAAGCATCAATTATGAGACCGGTACGACAATAAACACGTAGTTTTATCCATAGTGAGAGTACTTCGAGAGTTTTTTTTGTTAATTAGATAATTGATTTTTGTGAACATCATAAAGATGATCCAGCTCCTATTACTGATGAAGATGAGGAAGATCCAAACAAAGATATACACGAGCCTAAACGGTAATAAGATCTCTTTTAAGAGTTTACAACCACACGAAACTGGATTCTATTTTTTTTTTGCGATTTCTAGATCTGATGACATTAGCGAATGGGATCAAGAGTTTATCAAACAATTTACAGTAAAAGAAGGGACAATTTTTGATATCATTATGGCAGCGAATTATCTTGGTATAAAAACATTATTAGCTGTTGGTTGCAAAACAATTGCTAATATGGTAAGAGAATCCAGATTTCTTGAAATTGAGAAAGGCTTACTTTTCAGATCTAAATTTTAGGTTCGAGGAAAATCATCGTCCGAGGTTCGAGAAATGTTTAACATTTCGTATGACCCACCTGGACAGGGTCTTAATGCTCCAAATCAAGGCGCCATTGAAGGTGGTGACTCAAATCCAACATCGCCACTTCCCTCTGTAGAACAACCTAGTTTTGGTGGTGATACAGGTGATGGATCAGCACCCGATCCAATGCATGAGTAATAGAACACAAGTTGTATCATGTTGTTCCGGTGATCGAAATTCGTGACAGACTTATTTAATGTATATAGATTCATTCAATAACTGTTGTTTATTGTTGCGTTGGATTTAAAGGATTTTGAAGGTTCTACAGCTTTAATCATCTGAGAATAGTTTTGCTTCGTAGATCCTTGTAACTGCGCTAACTAACTTTTTTCTATTGTTAAAATTGAATAGTTTAAGAGATTTTTGTTTCATTTTTATATTGAAAAACAAGAAATAATACAGGATAAACATGTGTGTACGGATCCATTTGGAGCGTTACAATTTTTATTTTCTACTGTTCTAACAGTCTTGAAATATTGTTTTTTTTACTGAACTTGTTAAGGAGATTTTCAATCGAAAGTAACTTATAACAATTAAACTGATAGCTAATACTTTCGTTCTAAAGTTCTAAATATTATATATTTATTTTTTAACTCCTTCATACGATTGCAAAAAAAGAAGAACAATCTAGGAGTCTCAAACATTATACATTTATTAAAATTTGCTCGTTAATAGCATGATCGGAGATTTTGCTATACTGTACTATCTCTCTTTAGGTTAAGAATCATTGTTGATGAGCCATGATCTACTATCACAGACTGCTGGTTAGTGGGCTATTGATTTGAAGAGAGCAACTATATTATACTTGAATGAACCGCGTGTACTTTAGAACTCGCCAAAGTATTTCTGTTTCTTTCGCGGTAAGTCAGATTTTCTCCTATACTATTGTTACACAAGTAGATCTTTTTTTATATAACATTTGTAAACAGCATTGTATTTCGCATGAGTAAATAGTCGCTAATGTTTTATTAATTTTTCGTAAAGTATATCCATTTTATCTGATTATTGTAGAACTCTGTTTCTCTCAATGTGCGCTGATTATTCAAATAATAATAGATTATTAACAAAGACATAAAAAGAGGAGGTTACAACAGCAACAAGCAATACAATACAATAATGATGGATGATCCAAGTTTAATTGATTCTCGAACAGATAAAATTGATCCTAGAAGACTTCGTTACCCACATAGTTTAGTTTGGACACCGATACCTTTGTTATCGTACGTTTAACATATAACATGGAAAATACTTATCTCATCACTTAACTGTGTATTTTTGCAGATGGTTATTTCCATTTATTGGACATATGGGTATTGGAAGAACGGACGGCGTAATTCGAGATTTTGCTGGACCATATTATGTCTCTGTAGGTTAAAAGTTATTGTCGATAAGCCATGATCTACTATCGTATGCTACTGCTTAGTCGAGCATGTCAGAATTTTCGGAAAACAAAGAAAGGCGTTAGTTACAACAAACTTTCCGGTGAATATTGGGGAAAACGGTGTCTCTCAGTGTTGTTTCACTGCTGAAATATTGAACTTTTACGACAAACTATGAATCAAAAATATGATTGTTATTGTGGAATGTGTTTCTCCTCTACTGGTTAGATGGTTTGTCATCGCACGAGTTTATGAGTACACACTAGTTCGTATCTCTAAGAAAAATTTTCAAGTCAAAAATAAAATGCCGTCACAAAGTTTAATCTTAATAGTTTTTCAAGATTATGACATTGGCATCATCAAGTTTATCGTAAACATTGAATATCTCAGCAATGAAACAACTCTGAGAGTCACGGGTTTCCCAACATTCATCGGAAAGTTTATTGTTGTTTTGTAAACAACAACTTTATTTTGTGAGAAATCTGTTTGTCATGGTCGACTGCAGAAATCAAAAATATTCTATATGTTGTAGGAAGACAATATGGCATTCGGACGCCCTACACGTTATTTACAGTTAGATTTAAGTCGAGTACCAGGTCCTAATCCTCGTGGCAACTATGATAGAGCTGTTGAACAAGCGTCTGATGAATACAAAAATAGAATGGTATCCATTTTTTCTCTATATCTGAAACGTTCTGTTAATTATTTTGTTGATTTAGCATAATTTATTTTGCGATAATTGTCATAATCATGTTGCAATGGCATTAAATACAATGAATTATAATCGAAAACAATCGTACAATATGATCAATTTAACATTTTGGATGTTTTTTCGTGGAAAATACGTAAGGTAGGGCGAGAGAAAAATTAGAAAAGCACCATGATAACCAAAAGTAGAGAAATATAATAAATAAATAAATAATAGTAGAGAAATGTTCGAGCCAGAAATTTCGTTTTTTCAATCACAGAATTAATCGATTTATTTCTATTCCAGCTTTGTTGGATTTATATTGACATGGTTACCATTTCTTGTTTTGGTTGGTATTATTGGTGGTCTAACTCTTATGTTCAATATGAAACATTAAAATTTTGTTTGAAGACTCGTCTTATTATAAATATATTATTATCTGTGATTTTCCAGCATTGAATCTGAAACGTTTTTTCTGATATTTGTGTACCATATAAATTCTCTTCTCCGTTCTTTATATATGTAAAATGCAAATTTTAAATTAAAATAATCAGAAAATTTTGCTTGAATTTGAACACTTGAGTAACTCTTTTTTTTATTAGGCGGTTCAAAATTTTCTTCAAAAAAATAGGATACTCAGAACTTAGTTTTTTTTAATTGGACAGTTTACTCAAGAATCCATACACACTAAAAAGAAATAACAAGAACATACCTATATGAACCTCATCATATGTCTGCAACTTACGCAAAGAAGCACAATATATAAAATGAAAGTTTACAAAAATACCAAATAAGATTTTAAGAGAAAGAAAAATGAGATTAATAACCCACAGAGTGCTATCAACTTAAAATTATTGGTTGTTAGTTAAGTTGTGTTTGCGTGTTGAATTTAAAAGAAGTCACTTTTTTTAATTGATTTAGAAACAGAGTTCAAACAGACTATCTTGCAAGAGTAAATGATCCAATTTAATACGCTCATACTTGAACGGTACCCGTAACTAAGCAAGTAATGAAACCCTATTTCTAGCGCTAAAGTATTTCAAGACCACAAAAAAGCCAGAAACTACTAGCTTTCTGCGGTACAATTGTTCATTGAATTGAGAAAAACAACAGGCAAATGAGTAAGTACGATGAATCTCAAGACGTCTATCAGGCATAAGCAGTAAAAGAAAAAAGGACATATTAACATATTTGGATATTTGGAATTCGATTCTTCTTCGATAATTTAAAATCTTTGTTTTAACGCTAGGCCCAGTTGTATCTTGCGAAAGATTCCGGAAAGCTACAGTTTGTCTAATGAGGAGAAATACGCATGTTTTGATAACGTGATTTAGTTTATGATTGATCGACATCACTTCCTATAGATAGCAAGTCGTTTTCTGCGTTACCCGTTATACGGATTTAAAACACAAGTTACTCCTTATTATTTCATATATGAATTTCGGTTTGGGGTTTTTATCTTTAAGCAGTAACACACATCGATCAGGAATGCATCTTTGATTTCTTCGGCTTTGGAAAATCAAACCAGCAATTCTCTGTGCAGTGGGTTCATAGTGATTCTCTTTTCTCTTTTTCTGGGAGTTTTTAGCTAAAGTCCAGAGTTCAGACTGTTTTTAGCTCTGAAAGTTGTTTCAGATGTATTCTTTTAATCAATGCCGTCATACAAAAACAAAAACCAAAATTCACTCACTCCAAGAGAAAACCAAGAGAAAACCATATCCTGTGAGACGATGGATAAAACAAGATGTTAACCAATCAACATTCGCATGTACATTGTGTAAAACAGGCGAATTAGATTGTGGGAACAAAGGATGGCAGCCAGTCCGCATCTTTGCAGCGTTTGCACCAGCGTCCTTGGGTTCTACGTCTGTTATTCTTCGTCCTAGTCATTTGATAAGATATTTAACATAAATTCACAGAAAATGAATGTTATGTTATCTCTGAAAGGCGAAAAATTACATATTTTCAACATACACTCAATGGGAGGTCCATACTATCTCTATAGATCGCTCTCGATGATGGTCATAACAAAGCAAGTACGTGAAGTACTGTGTTCTAATCTTTATATTCGAGTAACTAAACGTATTTTCGAATACACCTCGCAAGTGCCGAACTAATGCGCCATATTCGTGAAAATGACAAACACCTTTAAAAACTTATTAGCACTCTGTATCGGTCTCCTTCTACGCACATAACGTGTCAAAATACTATTCCACTATGGTTGAAACGGCGAGATCGAGCAAAAACAGACAAAAGTATTCTTATACTAACGCGTGAATCATCTCTAGACGCCTGGCTATTTGAAAAGAATAAAGGCTGTCAAAGTTAAAAGTTTATTAATGCAAATGTACAATACAATAAGATCAAGCAATGTCAATAACAACATACGTGTCTTCATCATATAAAAATTCTGATATACATATAGAACTGTTATCATGTTTTTGTGATCTCTGCTGATGTTGTTCAAGTTCATTTTCCAATTGTTTAATCCGTTTACTTAATTCGACTATTTTCATTTCCATTTGTCGTTTCTCGTCGTCTTCATCGTCCGCCACAAAAAGACTGACTGTGCAATTACTACTGCTATTGTGTAGCGGTAATAATTCGGTATCATTCAATAGACTGTTTGCAATAAATGATAAAGATAAGTCTAGTGAACCGCGAACATAATCGATTTCATTCTCATCATTAATCTGATTTAACAGTTCGTCCAGCACCGTTTCAATCTGAATATTTTCACTTATCGTATCAATCAAGTCATTCAAAACTGATTTAATATCATCATTCAGCTCCACAAATGCTATCAATTCGTAAACGATATCATCTAATATTTCATTATGTTGACTGTCTTGACTAATTATTCCATCTCGTTTCACTTCATCAGCTAATGCATCGCTTTGTGCGCTTCCATCATGATCAAGTACACTAACTTCTGCCATTATTGATTCATCATGTGTACTATTAAAACACAAAAAAACGTTATTGTATTGCGCTAATGCACGCGAAAAACGAACCCGTCACTCAGTTGTCCAGTGATATATTTGTTCAAATTAGAACTTGCCCGAGAATTATCCATTTGTTTAAATATACAACTTACCTTTCATGCCGAATTGTCTCTAATATACTATTGTAGGTGTAGATTGACTGAAATTCAAATGATTCACAGTTTGATGTTTCTTGAACTGTCATGTTCAAAGTAACGTTGTCAAATAATATCTAAAATAAATCTTATTGAGAACTTCTGGTCTTCTTTTGTGAAGAAAAAAACGGTTTAAAAGAGGCGTCCTCAGAGTAAAAATGGATCGATCAGCATTCGATATATGTTCGCTTCGCATGGTTTTTACATCCCCTTAGGTCTATTCGTGTGTGTTTCGCTGAATATTTATCAATGATTATTACCCGAGAATACTTACTGCCCAATCGGGCTGGTATAATTAATTGGGATGCATGCAATTAACTATAAATCTATATTGACAGTAATAAATCTGTTGTTTATGGACTACATGGTCTTATGGAAACATCATCGCACACACTTTTTACTAAACATTATCGACGTTATGCTTCCAAGTTCTTCTACGCTTTCTTATCTATACAGCAGTGATCAAGTTTTGACATATCTTTCTTAACGAAACTACACTAAAAACCTTTTTTTTGGCATATGTAACGTACCTGACATGTTGATGAGGAAGTTGAAGTTTGTTCAACATAGTCAATCATTTTTATTGAAAATTGTTGAAATGTCGATTGTAACGAGGATAAAATTGAAAACATATTCTTAGAGAAAGAAGATCAAGTTTGTTAAATTAAAATAATGATTCAGCTTAGCAATAGTCGTGTTTATTTATATGTTTAAAAGAACAATGCGTATTTGAATAGCAAATGTTGCTGAGTGTAATTAATAATCAAAAGTGATATATATCACGTTGATTAGTTGAACGAAATAATTGATTAAATATCAAATAAATATATACGCCGTTTGATTATACATTATCTCTTCTCTGTTCTTTATGAAACTGACTGAAATAATTTGTCTGTTTGATGAATATATCCGTTTTTAATGAAGTTCAAATCATCACATCATCAGCCAGCATTTTTGATTACGACGTCTCAAATAAAATTTATTATTCTCGAACTACTTTAAAAGTAATATATGGAAATAGATTGATTGAAATAGATTTTAACTAAATGAAATGAAATTTATCTTGTATTATTTTGGTTCATCACCTTATTCTGGTGAATCGAAGGGCTCGGTAGCCTACGGTGCTGATCTTAAGCACCACTCGCGGTACTGATTTTAAGTACCACTATCCTGGCTTCCCTAAGTGTGTAACGACTCTAGGAAGAGAATAAAAATAAGATAAAAAAAATATAAAAATAATTTTAAGTCAAATGAAATAAATAAAACTTGCGCACGACATCACGCGGATACTCCGTTTTTTCGTTTTGTTAAAGTTTCGATTAAAGGCGTTTTTATAGCATATAGAAAATAAATGCTAGTAAACGGTACTTTTTAAAAACCCGTTCGAAGGCGTTGCTTTCTATCTGAGATAAAAACATCTTTAATCACGTTTTTGCAGCAAACAGAAAAGAAACGCTTTTAAAAGAGTTTTTAAAAGGTACCGTTTACTAGCATTTATTTTCTATATGATATAAAAACGCCTTTGATCGCGTTTTTTCAAAAATGAGGAAAAAAGTTTTAATAAACCAAAAAGCGGAATATCTTCAGACTTGCGTGATGTCGTGGGCTACTTTCATGATTTGGTAATTCTTCGTTATTGTCGATTGAACTCAGGTTTGATCATCAAATTTTTTCGGTAAACATATTTTAAACCGAACTGAATCTTTGTTAATCTTATTTTATGGGGTCTTATGGAAAGGATGGTTATTCTATAGCATGACTGACTGTCACAACAATTGACGCAACAATTAAACGTGCTTATTATGCGGATGATGAGTGATGTTTTGTAAACATTAATGCGTCTGTAATTTCCAGTTTCTTATCAGAGGATACTTCCATTGTTATATTATGTTTCATAATGATTTTTCTCATGAAATAAATATAGTTTTCAACTAGATACATACCAGACGAGAAAAACCAGAAGAACAAGTCTGTTCACATTCACAGTGTTAATCAAAAATGTTGGCAAACTAAATACAACCAAAAATCAAACGAAGATCAACGCGTTTATCTTCGGCAGCGTTTAAACGGATTTTCTCTTTAGTATCAAAGAAAACGGCACTGTTTTTTCTGCGTTTCTAATCGTTTTTGAAAAAATCACAGTTTTTTCTGTAAAATGAACGCGTTTTCCATCGTTATTTTTAAAAAAGAAAAACTTCGTGTTTTGTTGAGACTGCTCTCGTAGAAAATTCTTCAATGAGTAAAAGGCTTACTTATCAAAAGTAAGATATTTACTTCTATTTTCTGAGTAAGACATAGACTTCCATCACGGAAGTGAAAAGTTTTCAGAGTAAAGCATTTGTTTTTTCTCTTTCAGTGTTTGATAAAAAAATAAAATGTCTGTCATGTACATAAATAAGATAAGATAAATAGAATAGACTGCATCATGGCTTCAGTAAATGTATTTTGTATATTATAAGGTGTCTATAAGGTGTTTTTATATTATAAGGCTTTGTGTTGAAATAAATAGAGTTAGATAGAAGGAAATTCAGTCTTGCTTTAGAAGAAAACTGCTTAGAATATTTATTTTTTTCTTTCTGTAGTTCATAGAAAATTGCTCTCCAGTATACTGACAGCACCATCAAAAGATTGGTTAGAAAGATTCTTTATGAATGACGCGTGTACAAAAAGTTAGAGAATACTTTTAAGGTGAAAGGATAGAGAGCGCCATTGTCTGTTCACAGGAATTATAGTGAGGAGCGTTCTATCGAATTAAAGATTTTGAATATGAACAGCAAATAAAACAATGGAGTTTTTTTAAACACATGTATAGAAGTTACGAGAAGATAGCCTGAAAAACACATCAAATGATGAGCCTTTTAAGAGCAAATCAAAAGTTATACCCGTTTTATACAACCCGAGTTCTTTTTCGATACTATCGCAAACTGAACTGACGTAGATTCCAGATGAAAAGGCACTTCGTTTTTTAGCAATGCAAATTTGTTGGTCGAAAGTTGTGACTTTAATCAACGATCAAAATAGAATTTCACTGTTCGTTTTCATTTTTTTTGAATAAGCTATGATTACCGAAATAGTCACTATTAGGTAACCCTCTATAGAGAATAACAGATCAGCAAAGAAAAGCATTTATTGGTTCAAATTCATAACTTTTATCGGAATCATTTGCCTTGCCGAAAAACGAAGTAGTACACAAAATAAGAATATCTTTTCTGTCTGATCTCATACCATTTATTTGATTGAAGGATTTTGTCTGATTCTAATTTTGAGTCTAAAATCTGTTTTGGATGTCTCTCCGGCAATGTTTCTATACCTATTCGCTATTTGTTCTGTATGATTAAAATGCAACAACAATCACAACTACCACATATGTTCACCGCACCCATTACGAATGATAGTGAATATTTGAAAATCTTTATATCTGATGCTGATATTGAATATAAAGAAAATGCAAACATTTCCGTAAGTTGATCGATATACACTTGTATAACCATCACATTCGAATCATTCTTTTTTGTATTGAATAGTTTTGTAGTAAAACAATGGGTGAATATTTGTATAAAGTGTCACATGAATTTAATTTGGATGATGATGTTTTTTTTATATCAGTTGAATTATTAAACAAGTAACTATAGTTATTGGTGAAGTTTATTTTAAACTACTAATGCTTCTCTCTTCCCTAGATATTTGACAATGTCCATAATTTCTACTTTTGGAGATGGTAATGCTGTGACAGATGAAGAGCAAAATGTTGATGAGCAATTATCTGATCAACAAATACTTGATAAAGCAACATTATCAAGTGAGCAATATATTCAAAACAAACATTTATTAGCGACAGCTTGTTTACAAATAGCAGCCAAAGCATGTGTAAGTGAAATGTTATCAACTATTTTCTCAGTTCTTATTTTTGTTTTCTATTTTAGCAAAAATTTGTTGATAATCCACGTTTAGAAGAATATCTTCAAGAAATTGAAATTCAAGAGATAACAAAAGATAATTTATTAGAAACAGAAATTAAAATATTAAAAACCATTCATTATCAAATACCAATACACATTCCACATGTGTTCATTAGTTATTTTCTTCGATTTTTCAGTATGTTGGACTGATTATCTCAAATTCATTCATTCTCAAAACCAGATGTTAAAGTTAAAATTTGAATATTTTTTTCTCGAAAAATAACTGATTTGAATAATCTAAGTGTCAATCTTTACTAGGTTGTATATCTTCACAGAGCGATATCTTAAAAGAACTATCTGTTGTTTCTTTAGATGATGAAATATCGCCTTGTAAATTTTTCAATTATGAACGCTTTCATAATTTATCAATGGTTATACTATTACATATTTATTTAAAATGGGATCTTTTAATTAAAAAATTGGCACGAATAGAAAATGGTTTAACAGATGTAACAGAAGAACAAACGTATGTTCTATAGTGGAATACAATGTGTTTTATACACGTTATTCTGAATCTTTTCAGTGATATTATCTCTCATCGTTTAAAAGATTGTTTATTATTGGGTTCATCAACAATATTAGCTGCATCTAAAATATCAGGTTTAGATTCAAAATTACATAATAAAGTATTTCATTGACTTTTTTTTACTGTAGAATAACATTACTCTTGTAATCTGCTTATAGATCATCAATTTATTTGTTCAATATTTGGGTTTTAATCCAATGCGAATTTATATATCAGAATTTATTATTAAAGAATCCATATCGGATGATAATATAACAGATGTAATGGAAACAAAAGAGGATGAAGAAATAACACAAACTGAACCAATACTAACACATATGACTGCATCATAAATTTTTCTCGTTTTAATAAGTTTTAGATAAAACTGTTTTTTTGTTATTTTTTTTTTATGAAGAAATTTCATAAATAATACATGATGAGAAACATATAGCTGCTGTATAGTATATATAATGATGAAAACTTTGACAGAAACAAAAAACTTAATTAAAATAATGCAGACATGTGTTCTTTATACGATCGTATTCATATATCAATATGTATCTTTAAATGTATTCATAAGTTTCAATGTATCATATTTGTAGAACATACTTGACGATCATAATGACGTATTTCATATAATATCGTATATAATTCATACATTTGGTCCGGGGTGATATAGTGAAAACTTATTGTTGTTTCACTGAATGCATCATAACCCTAAACGATAGAACATCAAAATTTTGATATTTTTCATTGCAAAATGTTTGATCAGTTAGAAAATATTTGCATAGAATTTGTTGAATGAACTATTTTATCTACTTACAAATAAAATATGATGATATGGTCTAAAATGAATCCATTGTTGATGTGTTCGATTTTTCGGTCCTCTATAATGAACTGGAAAAGCTAATGGATGAAATCTTTCTCGTCCATGTTCATCGATTGATTCTCCAACAATATTATCTTGATTTGCGGTTAATAATTCTAAACACTGTCCAACCATTATGTCTTCCATACTTACATTACATGTTTTATAAAATTCATCATCTTGTAAACGTTCTCCTAATAAATGTAGAGCACGTTTATGTAAAAGATATCCAGCTCCACCACTAACATAATATTTCTCACGAAAACGAAAACCATATAAAAATGATGGGTTCGATTTTATTTCATGTAAAAAACGTATTAAATTTTCATAAATTATAAATGTATCATCATCTGCTTTTAAATACCAGTCATAATTTGGATAATATTGATAAATAAACACGAGTGTTGCACGAATTTTATTATTTAATTGATAGTAACCGTCTGGTAAATTAGGAATATACTGAATAGGTAATTCATTATTAGTAGATACATAATCATTATTATCATAGATTGTATAACGATAAGATGAGTTTAATTTTGCTATAAATAAAAATTTACCACAACGTTTACCCCATGTTGAATAGACAGCTTTTGCACGAGTTGATAAACCATTTTGTTCAGTTAAAACAAAACAAAGTACACGATGTTGATATTGATAGACTGTGAATAATAAAAACCACAACACAGCATAAAAGAAGAGTTCATATGCGAAATATACATACGCCAACAAGGCTCTTTTCTGTTATAAGCAAACAAAAAAAGAATCCCAATGCCAATTATGAGCAAAAAAAAAATTTTAGTCGATGACAAATTTCTTATTTTCCATTGAAATGTTAATAAATAACGTCTTAACTTTTTCAACAAAAAAAATGAGTAATATAACATCGAATAGTCATATTAAGGTAAGAGAAATTGACATGAAAGAATACAATTTTATATTAACGCTTCACTGAACATATGTCATTTCGTTGATAGAGAACAGGTTGTTCTCTTGAAAAAGGTTGTCAAACCAATTATCACACTGGTAAAGATAACTTTTGCCAAACACAAAAGATCAAAAACTTAAGAGGCAGTATATGTAAAATGCCCTCCCTGATTTGCCAAGTTGACCATCACCAAATTGACTCGTATTTTTGGAATATGTGCAGCTCAGTTAAAAAGAAATCTAATGCCGCTTTTAACCATTCAAAACGCTCTCGTGTTTCCTGAGATATATGGGTCACAAGTACTCAGAAGTATACCCCATCTACCAAAATATGAATACATATAAAATTGTTTTTGAGGTGACTACCTTATACAACTCTGCGAGCTGATCATTTTTCATAGTAGGCACCCATCGGGTCACTGTAATCCTGTGCAAATGGATAAACATTTTTAAATTCAATTTTTTGGCATCCGATCAATCATCTTTTTATGATTTTGTTCTTCAACTTGAACAGTGCTTAAAACTTAATAATGTACAATATATGAAAAGAAAGCATTTTAAATCTTCTACAAACTGACGGTGTGAGAATTCTGATATCACTCTCGATTACTGAGAAATAGAGGACGATAGTGACCCTATATTAAAATGTACCGTTCCACTGTATGTATATGTTGTAGCAAACTTAGAATTCAGGCAAATTCCGAATTTCCGAGGCAATATTAGAATTCTAAGTTTGACTGGGCAAAATTGGAATTAAAATGGGAAAATCAGAGATCACAACTGATAAAGTCATAAAATTAATTATATGTGCTAAAATCATGCTCTTAGTTTCTCTTGCTAGGTAATAAGCCATACTCACCCACTGATGTATTAGATGTATTAGAAGGCGCTTGAATTAAAGAATAATCACAATCTCGAGAAGGAGTGATTAGCTGAGAAGCTAGAACATCTGTGTGTGACCATGAAAGAAACAATTGTTTTAATTCAATTGTAACTCTTGCAACAAACTCCTTTCCATTATCACTATGAAGCAACTGTGAACTTTATAATTGAACTCCCCCTTCTCTGAATGTGAGAGAAGATAAAGAGAAGATAAAGAGAAGACAGTTAATTTGAAGTTGAAAATTGAGTGAGTTATGAATTTTTTAATATTAGGTGAAAATAGCCTGAAAACCCTACTTTTCGTAAAACTCGCTTTTCGGTAGCTTTTTAAAACTTTTTCTAAAACAAATATTACCACGAGACTCAGCATGATTGATTACCTATAGTCCATCCATTTTCAAGCCTACCAATAGTCAGCGAGTGTCAGTCCTGGGACTCGTAGGAAATCCGACGCAAGGCTCGAACCGCGAAAAATCAAGATCTCGCTCGGCTCCTATCTTGAAGAGAACACCCTGGGCTATCAGTTCGTAAAAAAGAATCAATGCGATCCGATTGGAAAACCGTTACATACGGCCTAGTTTTTCAAAGACCTCCTGAAAAATCTGTTTCAGAAAACTCTTCTGAAAAAGTTTTGCTTATGGAAATATGTTCCCGAGTCTCCTCTTTCAAATGGTGAAAATCGGACCTCTCTAGCTACTTTCTAGCAAAAGTTATTCCAAAAATGGCCGAGCTCATTCTTTTTTTAATCGATAATAATTATGTTTTAGTACTCTGTTGCAAATAGTCGAAACAAGAATTCTCGACAACGCTTCCTTGTAGAGAATTTTTTTTTTGATTGAAAGAGCATATCCAGCTCTAGGGTGTTACAGAGCCCTTTTTTCAAATTAGGCTTTCTTTTTTTTATTAAAAAAGGATCTCTGGAAAACTGCTAGCGTTTTCTACGGGTTTTGGGGAAGTATTGAACTTCTAAGCCCTCTCTCCCCCGCAAGAAAACCAAAAATTTAGAAAAGGACTCTGTAACACCCTAGAGGTGGATGTCCTCTATCGAACAAAAAAAATAATAATTGTCTATGATGAAGCCTCTATGAAAATTCTTGTTTCGAAAAAAAGCTATTTTTTGAATATCTTGGAAAATAGTCATGATATTGATCCAAAAATTTTAGCATAGCATCCCTATACCATGACCGAGATATCCTGAAAATGTCATGCAATTTCGTGGCATGGAAGCCGAGATCCGATTTTGAGAGGGGGGTGGCCTTAAAGTAGGACATTATGATTATCTTAATCAAACATTTTTTATACATACATTTAGATTACATATATCATATTGATTACAGTATTGATTGTTTTTTCAAATACTGAATGGGAATATTTGACAAACAAAGACGATTAAAAATCTTTTCAAAACGATGAAGTATATTCTTGTGCAAGTTTTATCAGTCTTATATTTCATTTCAATTAGGTCTTTAATCGTCTCTGTTTGGCAAATATTCTCATTCAGTATTTGAATAAACAATTAATACTGTAGTCAATATGATATATGTAATCTAAATGTATGTATAAAAAATCTTTGATTGAGATAATTATAATATTCTACTTTAAACATAATTTGCATTTAAAAAGCACCTTTTCTCTTTTCATAAAACGAAGCTGAAATATAATTTCTTTGAATATTATGATCTTCATCAATGCTACCCAGAACTTCAAAATAACTGCAAGACAATAACAACTCCTCACTTTCTGAAGGAAAATGTGAATGGATTTAGAATTAGTCAAACTTAGAATTCCAATTTTGCCCAGTCAAACTTAGAATTCTAATTTTATCTAGGCAAATTCGGAATTTGCCTGAATTCTAAGTTTCCCTACAACATATACATTTTTCTCAGTTTCTTACAGTTCACAAACACTTTCTAATATATCAAATTGCAGCTAGAAGAGTTCTAAACATTTTCATAAAAAAAATTTCGAACATATGCTTCGTTTTTTTCTGGCATTTTGATTAACACAGTCATCATACTGAACATAGAAGCAAATTATCTCACAATGCACATGACGATCAGATAAACCAAATATGCTATCTTGTTACCCGAAGTCCACTCTACAGGAATCCGTCAAAACATCTATGGTATACCTACCCATGTAAATTTTTTCGAGTCGTAGACGCATCTGAAAATGCGTTTTATCCTGCGTTTAAGTCGCTCAAATATGCACCCGTTTGGTGCGGCTAGACGCGTTTTATCTTAACGCGTTTAAACGCGCATGACGTAGACGCGTTCTAACGCACTTTTATAGGATATGACGCGTTAAGTCCAATTCTGACGCGTCTAAGTACGCCAAATCTGCACCATTTCAGTGCGTCAAGACGCGTTTTATTGTGACGCGTTTAAACGCGCTTTTCATGCTTTAATTTTATATATATTTTTAAAAATAAATAATTTCATTTCAATTTTAACTCCTGTAGCGGTTCAGACTTTTTTCTAGCGACGAGAGTCTACGATATTAGGAGAGAAGTTTGACGTACGCACTTTACTATAGTAAAGTGTCTCAAAAGTGACTAATTCTAAAAAGTAACGTTTTAGTCAAAAATAGCCTAAATTCTGACCGGTATATCGATTCTAACAAACGTTAGCCCTTTATCCCAGGCGGGGATTTTTTTGAAGATCGGTAAATACGACTACTGATGTGAAGCTGTTGACTGCTCAATATGGCAGAAAATCATAGAAAATGCTGATTTTTTAATTTTATATTTTTTTTAGTTTTATTACCGACGTTTATACAGTATCTTCTTTAAACAGGCATTACATCACGTTTTCACTAGCATAGCATTATATATTAAAGATAATATTAGAAATAAAAATTTAAGAATAATTGCAGTTCTTATTTTCGTTTATGGTTAAAAGTTTATTAAAATTAGTAAAATTAAAATTTTGAAATATACAATTTTTCAATCTGTTTATACGATCATTGTCATGCATTTATCTTGCACAGAATATATACTGCAGTAAAAAAACAAAATGAGTTAAACATATACATATTCGTTCTTTCTTTCCTAGTGTGTGTTCTCGCTCTTTTCAAAAGTAATCAAATGAAGATGTACCAAAGAGAAAATATTTACTCAGTGGTACACCGTCCTCTCCGCGTTTTGTAGATATAAGTAATAGTTGCGGCAACTTTGGAAAACTTCAACAGAATCCGATAATAGAAAAAGCTTCTTTTTTTATATCATTTTGTATCAGGTGGGATTCGTATGATATGAGGAAGTACTACATGTAGAAATCTATAACTGTAATAGAAGCAAGATGGAGGCAAGTCAAAATTTCCATTTTCAGTTTTTTGAAAATCCTTTTTCAATAAACTAAACCTTTAAATATCACTGCTATTTGATACATTCGAAAGCATTTTTTTGCATTCATCATACAAAAATCGAATCTAGAAGCTTGGTTTAAAAATCTATCGGATAAAAGCTGACCAACGTTTTTTTTCACAAAAATACCCTTACAGAAGCACACCAGAGTCTGAAACGAATGATGAAAATCTGGTTCGATTCTTTTCGAGTTCTGTCACACGCTATTCAAGATGCTTGCGCGAATCAAATTAACCACGAGAAAAAAAGCACTACTTCATTCCACTACAGAGAGGGCTGTTTCTTCGTGGTGAAAAAACGTACACAATATCAATCGTCAGCGTTCACGATTAATGCGACTTTATAACTAACTTTTAAATTTAGGTAGCAAGAGAGAGAATGAGACGCTTTTTAAGAAATATTCTCAATATCTTAAATCTCATTTTAATCGTATTTGTAGAGTGCCGAAATTATGAAAATTTTGTATAACTGCGTTTTTTCAGCATGTTCATTCATATATATATGTGTTTATATCTACATGTTGTATTATATTGATTTCTGATGTACATTTTCAATTAAATTTCTTTATTCACTTAGAAAAAGCTAATGAATACTAAAAGAGATGAAAATTTGTGAAAGAATTTAGTTCAAATTCTTGATCATTCAATTCAGTCTTTTCAGTCGGAGTGAACTTCCATAAGCAGAACGCGAAAACAATTTTTGTTTTTGACTAAACTATGTGAATGAGCATTGGAATATGTTCCATCGCATCACTATTTACATACATTTAGACTATTTCACCATTATTCTAAGATATATTATTATACAGAAAGATGTTCTGTACGAATAAACCTCTATGTAACAGAAGAAAGAAAACTTAATCGAAGGGATAATGATGCGTTTTTATTAGATATCTTTCAAAAAATATATGATCAGATGTTTCAATCTGTGTTGCTCCCACAGATTTCTAAAACAAAACAGCGACCCGTTATGAAACGGCTTGTTTTTGTAATAGAAGAAGTTGATATTTATAATATATCAACCATATTTCTTGAATTTAAATTACTTTTACAATGAGTGTAGTTTTACACAACAGGCAAGCTTCTAGATTTTGCTAAGTGCCATCCCAGTAGAAGAAGTAAGAGCAATGAACTCGACGTTCAAGTACTGTTTTAAGATAATGTAAGATCTTATGAAATCTTGTACCTTCTTGGCGTAAGTTCTTCTAAGATGTACTTAAAAGAAACGTAAAGATGTTGTAAGACCGTATGACAAGAGCTCATATCATCTGATGATGATGACATGTTTTTGTAAGATGTTCGAAGCTTTCATAAGATCATTATCGACCCTCTTGCCACCTAGAATCTGTGAATGTTAGAACATATATTATTATTATTATTATTATTATTATTGCATTTCGCCCTCCCTAGTCATCGGCTTTTATATAAGAATCTTACAAGCATCTTATACGAATCTTGTAAGAATCTTACTCAATTCTTATATAAGATCTTCCACGAAACTGACAAGAATTTTGCTGAATCTTATAAGAATTTCACAAGAATTCATAATTGGTAAGAATCAGCAAAACTCGTATGTTATTCTTATAAAATTCTGATAAGATTCTTGTAAGATTCTGATAAGAATTCGGTAAGATAGATTATTAATTTTTTCTATAATAAGACCTTAGTCTACGTGGACAGTCTGTCTCACGACTTGTACTCATTGTCTGCTGCTTGTAGACCGAATTTACTTCTATAAATCTATCATGACTATAGAAAGAAAATGAAGTTCGAAAAGTAAAAATATGCGTGTTGAGAAAGCAGGGCACAACTTGTTGCTTGTTTATATAAATCCCGCTTTTTCAAACTGATCTCTAGAAAAATGCTCTACTTAAGATGCTTTTCTTTCTATAAAGATCAGATTCAATTCGGACTCTCTAAGTTGCAGAAAATAGAGCAGGTCGAATACTACTAATATGCATCAAAACTCTTTGCATATCTGTCTTAATAAAGCACTAGAAGCAATTATAAAAGAACTACATCTACTAACTTAAGATTCTGATAAAAAGCCGGATTTATGTAAACGAGCAATATATCGTGCACTGCACTCTCATGTCACTTATTATTAATTTTCGAACTTCATTTTCTTTCTATAGTCATGATAGATTTATAGAAGTAAATTCGGTCTACA